CTTGTTTATATTTGTTTTCAGTCCTATTGTTTTTGTTTTCTCTGCTAGCTTACTTATGGTGACTTGCATATATTCAGCTGTATGAGTAGAACGGCGTTATCGGCATATTGCAGGTTTTGTAATTTATGTGCGAGCTCCAAATTATTTCCTTTGAACTATTGGTGTTACCTCCTTCATACATTTGTCTAAACAACGATGAACAACGGGGAAAGATAGCATCCCTGCCTGACTTCTACTGTCGTCTTATGGGGGAACTAAGTTTGCAATTATGTAACACCAGTGGTACGGCATGATTACAAAGCTGTTCCACCTTACTGATTTCACTATCTGATTGTGTAAGTAAGACCCCTTTGGGTAGCTTGATTTTTAATCCTTTTTCCATTGGTCGCTGTAATTTATCCCGCTTTAAACAGTTCAGTTAGAATGCCATCTAGACTAGTGTTTGGATCAGTATACTGAAAAAAATGTCTCAGTAAGATTGACAAAAAAAGCATTTGATTCGACAAATTTTTTGCCACTATACGGTCAACAAAAACTTTGTGTCAAATTAAGAAAATTTTACAAAAGCTTTAACACTTTAGTCAGATTGACAATTGGATTTGTCAAAATGGAAAAAAAAATTTATTTTTATTGAAAAAGGGTATTTTGTTGAGAGGACAAAGTTAAATTTTCATTTTGACAGTAATTGCAGTCAACTTGACAATTGGCATCGTTGAATAGAAAAAATATTTTAGTCAAATTAAAAACGTCTATATGTTAAAATGACTAAATAAATTTTCAATCTGCAATTTTTGTTGCCTATTTAGCAAAATACTCTTTTCATCTATACATATTGGTATTGTTCAATCAACTAAAAATGGCTTTTCAAATAAAAATTTTTGTCATTTTTAATTCATTATTTATTTTTTATTTTTGCTTATTAATTCTTGTAATACAAAAGTTATTTCAGCATGCTCTTTTGAAACTCACTATATGATGTTAGATATTTTCAATCGAACAAATTAATGATTTTAAAGCATGTATCAACATCACTTAAAATATTAGTGAATTTAAATTTAATTTCATCAAAATACACAATAATATCATCAGAATATTATCAGAGAAGAGAATTGCTTCATGCTTTAAAGTGTCAAGTTATTCTTCTGCAGATACTCCACTTACTATGAAGGTGTTTTAAGAATTTTTTATGGAGTACTTAACTTTAACTCTTTTCCCGTTTTCTAGTTTAAACTCTCCTCCAGTATGTAGTAGAATTGCATTAAGTACAAAGCTATGATAAATCTTTCGTCTGAAAAATAAGCAAGAAAAACAAATGCTTAAAATATTGATATTACACATTAATATATGTACATATGTATGTCCATTTGTACTTTCATATAAGTTTTCCGATTTTTCAAGTATTCAACATTTCAACATTACTTGAATCCTTGATTGTTTCTTTATATTAAACCAACAATATTTTGGGAACTCCTCTACAAAATTATTATCTGGAAAAGCGTTGCAAAAGTCCATGGAAATCTGAATAATACAAAAAACTAAAAACAAATTAAGGTAGAAAAAAAATAAATTACAAGTTTATGGTTTTTTGTATTGTCGAAATTTATCAATTATTTCTGCTATTGATTCGTTTTATTAATATTAACCTGTGGCCTGGGATAACTTTCAAGTGCTCTTCTAATTCATTCCAGGAGCTATTGTCATTGAAAATTGCTTCAAGATTTTTTTCTTATATCTAAAAAAAAAACAAAATTTTTTAAAAAAGCAAAAATTCATAAATTAAAATGTTTTAAATTTTAAAGTTATTTTTACCTGAAACTGAATTATTTTTGGAGAACAATAGCGAAGATTCGCTATAACTATTATCAGATTGCTTTTTTGCTGTAGATTTTTGAATAAATCCAGTGCTTTTCAACAATCTAAGCTGATTATCTGTAGATCGTAAGATATACATTTCATAGGAGAAGAATCATAAAAGAAGTAATTTACATTGTTCTAGGGTTGATGTGAGTAGACGGCCGTTCTTATTCCTTATTTTGCGTTTGTTCTTGTTAATCTTAATCGTGTGTTATTTTCTTCTGTGGCTACATGAGCTTCTTAATTTGTCTACATATAAACCTGTGTGAGTTTTTCAAGTTCATATCGTTGTTAGTTAATAATTGTTTTCTTATGTTCTTTCTTTGTTCAATAAGAGCCCTTGTTTCGTCTAAAATCCATTCTTTATTGTTGTCTAATGGTCTCCAAGATTTATTCGTCGGTGTGACGATAGAGACTTTGCATGTTTGATTTCTGTAGTATCTATTTCATTGCATGTGTTACAAATTTCTGCTTTGGACGCATTGAAGTCTCCTATTATTATAAGAATGCTAGTTTTAGGGATTGAGCTCAGTACTAATGCTAACAAGGGTTCGTGCGTAGCTGTAGAATATTATAAATCTTGGATGTCCTTCATTTGTAAACAAAGTGAAAATATTGTTTTCAATCGTTTTATTTTGTTTAGTTTATATTTACATATTATGTCGGCTGTAAGTGAATTATTATATACATGAACTATTCTAACATAATATAATTGCAGAATTATCATATTGAAATCACAGAAAATCTTTCTCTCACAGAAATTTCGCCAAAAAATCTGACAAATTTTGCAACATGAAAAAGAAAATTGCTTGAAATCTGATGAATAATCAGATTTTTTATTTAACTTAAGCACGTTTTTATTATCATATATTTTATTATCATATCCTCTAACCATTAAAATTTTAACAGAACAAAACAAAAAAAAAATCTGATGTGGTTAGCACATAACCGACCGCAATCTGTATTGTCTAGTTAAGTTAAAGTATTACAGAATATTATAAAAGTGCCTGTTAAGTACTTCTTTCCAAATTTTACGGCATTAGTAAGCTTATAGTTAACGTACCTAAAAAATGTAAATTTGACTCTAAGTAGAGTTTCGCTTTGTGCTAATTCCCTGAATGCTCTGAAATGAAATGCTCGCCAGTTAGTTTCGATAACAACCAGAATTCAAATATCAAATTTCAAGAAATTCCATCAATTCGTTTCGTAGATATGGTAAAAAATGTAAAATCGGCCTTCAGATCAGTTTCCGAGCCCTGATCTTTCCGAAAAATTTATATGTTCATTGTTTTAATACGAAGAATTTAAATATTAAATTTCAATGAAAACGGTTGATTATTTCTCTTTATATATGAAAAAATGTATATTTGACCCGTGGTAAACGTCCAGTTGCTGACGCCTGATTTCTTCCAACAGATAGTAGGGTTCGAGGACAGTCGAACCTCAAAGTCGAAATAAATTTACATATAAAATTTCATCAAAGTCGGTTCAGCCGAACTTGAGCACATGTTTGCATACACAGACAAACAGACCGACAGGGTGACAAAAATAGCTTGACAAATTTACACTTACCTACCATGGAGAAGTGCGTTCCTACCTATTGTATACACAATGCAGTCGGTAAAAATCTGGCAAACCTAAAAAAGTCTAGCATTTTGGGTAGGAAATTTGGTCATCTAACAGACCAGAAAATCTGAAAAATCAAATAAAACTGGCAATATGGGAACGGTGATTATGATTCATGCACGAATTATGTTTCTTTCCTGATTTTATTTATTTTGCAATATATAAAAATATTATAACAATATTAAGAATAAATCATACATAAATGTTTTCATAAGTTTATAACAGCAGGCTTATTAAACTTATGAGAGCATTAACATAACATGAAAATTAATAAGTTCTGCAGTAAATCTGTATACATTTTACATGACTAAAAGACCCTACCGCGAATCGCACTAAGTTCAAATGTGTTCGAAAAACTTTAAACAAAATTAATCAAGACATGAATGTGTATATAACACCTCTTATTTATTAGTTTAATGTAGGAAGTAAAATTGAAAATTAAATCAGGTTGCCGTTAACTCACAAAATGTAAAAATTTATATCCTTATACCGGTCCAGTAATTTAGTCATTGTAGTTGATTTGAAATGATCTTCAGTTTTTCATCATAAAGTATAAAAATCTTGGAACTCTGTGCTTCTTATCGTTTTGTTTTAGAATCTGTTTTATGTTCATAAATAGTCCGCAAAAAATTTTTTTTTTTAATTAAACTGCTATACATGTTATAATAGACAAATCATAGGGTTGATACACCCCTGTACAACACATATACCAATGGTAGTTGTCAGACACAAAATTTTGAATTGAAAAACTGAAAAAAGAAAATCCAAATGAAATATAATCTTCTACTTCCGCAGCTTGGCTGTAAATAACATTCATGGTATGTAATTGACAAAAAATTTTTTGTTAATTTTTGCGAAACACAATTTTGCTCTAGCTTCAACAGCTTCGAAGCTGTAATGGATGTCCGTCGAACAGAATCTTTTAACCGGATTTTTTTAATCCTTCTAAACTACCTACAAAGTCCTGCCTCACCCCCCTCTCTACCGCATCACCCATAAGATTCTTTTCCTAACAAAACCTCAGCGAATCACCCCGCGAGTGCTTTAACATTTGGACTGATCCACACCGCATTTACTTATTTGAAATGTTAAAAAATTGTGAATTTGTAGCCCCGGCTGTAAACGATTTGAATGTTAAAAATCTATTAGCAGACAAATAAATAATAGACATTAAAATAATTATTTATGTACGGTGATAAATACATTTATGTTTTAATTTTATTTCAATATTTTTGAATACATTTGAACTTAGTGCGATTCGCAGTAGGGGTTTCTAATTTAATATATTTTAGTTAAAAATGAGAGTAATTCAAATAATGCTGTAGTTTACTGAATTTTTACTTGTTCAAGGGAAAAGTACTACCTTACAAACCATTAAGTTTCATGTAACTTTTATAAAAACAAAAACAATTTTATTCACATTTGATTTTTTTGTTTGAAATTCAATTGAATAAAATATTTTTTCTCAGAATTTGTATTCCTACATTATATTATAATTTCTTTTTCTCTTCTTGTAAAAGAGACTTCGTGATGAAACAAATATGATGTTAGCTGATGAAGATTTAAAAGATCATGAATTGAATTTGCTATCAGAAGTTTACAAAATCAAATCAAATTTCTATAACAAAAATTTTAAATATCCTGTAGAAGATAAAAAATTTCGTGAAAACAATCTGCAAAGCATTAAGAATGCAAAAGTAAATTGTAAAAAATTGAATGCTTTATGTTCAAAAGATAATGATACTGCAAGGACAAGGATATCAGAAACAGCAGCAACAGGACATAGGAATAAAAATGATATCGTTAAGAATTTTCAAAAGGAGAATGATGTAAGTAACATTAGTTAATATTATAATTGCATTATGTCTATTGAATAAGCAAAAATACATATATATACATAGCTCACATACATATTTATTGATACTTTGTATCTAGATTAAAGAAAGTATGTAATAAAATTTTATACGTGAAGTTATATGTACATATATTTACATGATCATTTGTGAAAAAAAATATCTAGAACATAGTCTGCATTTCACAGAACATACCGGTGAACCTTAATGCGCGCTGTATGCGACGTACAGTTGCTAAAAATAATTTGTTTTCATGTATTTAAACCAACCAAATTGCTGCGAGATAATCGCATTGGATTCGAATTTTCAATCTCAAACTTGTATTTTTTCAACTTAAAAATTATTTTCATTGTTTTTGGCGCTATAAATATTTAACTCTGCTTTATACCTTATAGGTTTAACGCACTGCAATTTCCTACTGCGTCCATTTTTCACCACTTAATCAATTATCATTAGTGTGAAAATGCTCCAAAATTCTTAATTAATTTGCTAAGATTAAGATATATTGAAAGTTAATTAATTATAAATTTTTGACATAATTTATCAATTGCAAAATGAAATTTTGAGAAGTCTTTTAATATCTTTTATATAACACAAACATTGTAGCCAGATTTACGATATAAAAAAGTAATGTACCCAGAGAGAAAATGAAAAAAAAATACGACATAAAAGGAAACAAAAAAATGTATTCTCAAATTCAGTGTTGGAATTATTGTTGTTATTTTCAACTTGTTTTTCAGTTGCCTTTTGTCTCAAAAAAGCAGTACCGTGAGCTTTAGCGTAGTAATTTGAGGAGATCATTAACACCGGAGAAAAAGTAAGGCATCTGCTCAATAGATTATCTGTTTAAAATTGATTTTAAGAATTCCATCAATCCGTTTCGTAGATATAGTAAAAAATATAAAACCGGGCCCAGTTTAGTTTCCGAGCCCTGATCTCCAAAAAAATTTTATAGATTCATTTATTTAGTCATTGAAATTAAATTTCATTGAAATTTAAATATTAAATTTCAATGAAATCGGTTGGTTATTTTAGTTTATATACGCAAAAATGTATATTTGGCCGCAGTAAAGGTCCAGTTGCTGACTCCTGATTTCTTCTAAAAGTTAAGAGGTTCTGTGTACGGTGTATATAAACTTAATTAACTAACGTAACATGGTATAATATCATAAAACTAAGAAACATAGTTTTATTTAACTTATGCTTGGATTCAAAAGCCTGGCCATTATTAAAAGCCTTGATGATATCAATTTATGTGGTAACTGCCTTTACGTATTATATGAAAAAAAGAAAAGCAGTGTAGCAGTCCATTATAATGCAACAGTTAAAATTATTGATTCTTAAAAATTAGTTAAACAGTACTTGTATATGAGTATGTGATTTTATTACAGTCAAATATTCACAATTTAAAATGAGATTCTTGATATGATCTCTTTTTGTAATAAATCAAAATTTTTAGTTTCTAGATTTTTACAAAATTAAATGTAGAAATTCTTTCGTCTTAAAATTCAAGTTCTTAACCATAGCAGCCTATATATACGAAGAAATTTATCTAAATTAGAAAATTTTATTTCATTTTGCTTATATTGTGCTTCTCTCTATTATCCTTTTCTTTTTTCTAAATTGTGTTTTCAAATAATATAATTGCGTAATTTAAAATCATATATCTACATACATAAATACATATTCATTGAAAAATTTTATATATGTACATATTAACAAACGATATACATATGAATATACAATAATTTTTACTTGTATTTTATTTATAGCTTTCATTAATTTTTTTTATACTTTTATCTGTATAATAGTTATAACATGTACTTATTTTATTTTATTTATATATTGTACCAAAATTTAGGTTATACGTAAGACTTATGGAATTCAACTGAATACTGATTGTAATCCAGTAGTTTTAGATAAAAAAAGGACAATGCAAAAAAACAATAAAAATAAAAAAAATTATATTGATCATATTGAAGGAATATTGGATCAAATACAAATGGAATTTGAAAATATAGTGAACCCTGAAATTGGATCATCATAATTTCTAATCAACTTTATTCGTATTGTATTGGTAAAAGAAGAATAATGTTTTATTCTTATTATCCCTTTGCAATAATTTGTGTTCATATTTAGTACTATATTATATATTTATATAATACGTTATATTGTGCATAGCTATTTACATTTACAATTATAAATGGGCAGGCAATTTTTTTTATTTATTTTTTATTTACTTTACATACTCGTATAATACCTTTTTACAACTAGTTTTCTAATCTTGCATTTCTTTGATATTAAAATATTTTAAATTTAAATTTAATTTAAATTAAGAATATGTAACAATTGTGCATATGCATAAAAAGTATTTTAATTTAAATGAATTTTAGATATTATTTTCTATAAATTTGATTTTTATTTTTAAGAATATGATTAATATAGCAAATTGAAGAATCGTAGTTTTGGATAAATAAAATAAGTTCTGTAAATCCATAATTGTTCTTGGTTATAAAAGCTAGAAATTAGCGTAAAGTTGAAATTGTAAGCTCAAAAGTTCCCTACAAATTGCTTTTTATATATTATAATCAAAAACAAAATTCAAAGTTTACAAAGCAAATTTTAATAAAGAAGATTTAATACGTATGTACCTCTTTGAAAATTCTTTGAGTGTACTCGTATTATAATTTTCAAGTAAAAATTGAAAAAAGACAAGTTTTCTTTACAGTTTAATTAAAAAAAAATAATCATTTCTCATTATCAAAGAAATTCTAAAATAAATTTTTTTCATATTTTTAAACTTTATTGCTATCAATCCTTATAACATACACAAATTGTGACGAGAAACGTTTTCAAACAATTTTAAATGGCCTTATTACTTTTCATTACATGTTCTTACAAAGTTTTAATACATTTATTTACAGATTGCATTCTCAAAAATAAAGAGATAATTGGATTGCACCTAATTTTAAATACCGACTCTTCAATAGAAATGTAATTCTCCATATTGGCAAAAGCAAGTAAATATTTGTAATCTTATGTCGGTTTGTTGGTCTATCTTAAAACTCAATAAATTCTGGTTTGAACTAATTTTAATGAAAATTTATATTGGAATCATGGCTGACAGAAATACAGGCTTGAACCATAAGAGAGTTACTGTTTACAGTTGACGAATACGTGTAGTATTCTTATGGAATCTATTCTTTGGAATCTATTCTTTGTTTGTTTTTCTTAATTTTTATTTTTTCTAAAATAGAATTTTCCACTATTTGGCCCAATATAAATATTTTTTTTTTGTTAACGACAATTTTTGTTCATAAACACAATACTGCAAATTCGAAATAGCAAAAGTTTTTGTACAACTGTCAAAAACATATTGCGTATGTATCACATTATTGTTTTGCAGTATTGTGTTTATTAAAATCCCTTTAATAAACTGTTTTTGTATTAAATATAGGAATTAGCTCCACATTTTTTTTTAAATGGCTCCCTTTTTTGAATATTTCTGGTCCCCATCTAAAAAAAATCTGATGTGGTCAGCACATAGACGTGTATTGTCTAGTTAAGTGAAAGTGTTACAGAATATTATGAAAATGTCTGTTAAATACTTCTTTCCAATTTTTAGGACATTAGTAAGCTTATAGTTAACATACCTCGAAAAATGTAAATTTGGCTCTTAGTAGAGTTTCGCTTTGTGCTACCCGAATTCCCTGAAATGCTCGTCAGATAGTTTCGGTAACAACCAGAACTCAAATTTCAAATTTCAAGAAATTCCATCAATTAGTTCCGTAGATATGGTGAAAAATGTAAAATCGGCCCGCAGATCAGTTTTCTTCATAAATAATAAAAACTTCATAAATATTAACATAAATAAGAAAAATCAACTAAATTTTCGCCGCAAAAGTAAGTAAACAAAAAAAAAATTCTTATTTTAAAAGTTATAATTAAACATTGTTTTTTATTCTTAAACATTATTAATACTTAGTAGCGCTTCCTTTAGCTTCTATTACCGCTTTAATTCTTCTTGGCATAGAACAAATTAAGTTTTTAGTTATATCAGGTGAGATTTTCGTCCATTCATCTTTGATAACTTCTTTTAAGGTCTCCTTACTGGTTATTTTTCGCTTGCGAATTTTTCGATCTAAAAAATCCCATAGATTTTCTATGGGACTGAGGTCTGGTGATTGTGGGGGATGTTCGAGCCGCTTAGGTGTGTTATATAGTAGCCATTCTCGCGCCAAATATGATGTGTGCTTTGGGTCGTTGTCTTGCTGGAAGACCCAAGAGCACGGTAATTCAAGTTTTGCAATGCTAGCTGGAATATTTTCTTTTAAAATATTCAAATAATCTTCTTTCGTTATTTTTCCTTCAATAAAAGTAAGATTCCCGACACCAGATGCCCCATACACCCCCATACCATTACTGATCCATTTCCGTGTTTAATCGTATTTTTGTCTATAAGCTCTTGATTTTTTCCTCTCCAAATTTTATTATTTGTTTTATTACTATAAATTTCAAATTTGCTTTCATCCGTAAATAAAACCTTTTTCCAAAACGAAAAGTCACTGTCTTTGTATTTTTTAGCATATTGTATTCGTTTCATTTTGTTGACTTCTGAGATATACGGTTTTTTTCTGGGAACCCTACCATGTAGACCCCTTTCATGTAGTGCGCGGCGAACTGTATCAGCACTTATACCTTCTCCACGTTCTCTACTAATATTTGCAGCTAATTTTACCGCGCTGGATCTGGGATTAGCCTTAACTTCTTTTACCAGTTCTCTTTTTTCTCTCTCAGACAATTTTTTTGGTCGGCCTATTCGTTTGAAATTTTGTAGAACATGAAAATTTTTGTACTTGTCCACAATTTTTTTTATTGTAGCAGGACACCTTTTAACTATTTTTGCGATTTCTCTCAGAGATTTGCCGTCCTGATGCATCTGAATAATAGTTTTTCTGGTTTCTATAGTGGTTTCAGTTCTCATTTTAAAAATATCGAACCTAATCTAAAGGCGTTTACTAATAAATTGTTCTAATACTAATGTTGTGCGAAATTTTAATAAAAGAAACAAAAACAAATGTTTTTTAAACCTTGCGGTAAATACTCGTATCTTTGCATGTGCATGCGAAATTTCTCCGTGCACCCATATCATTATTTTATTGTGTTTACTTACTTTTGCGGCGAAAATTTGCTTCATTTTTGTTATTTTTTTTAGTATTTCTAAAAAAAATTTTTTTTTTTATTTCTTGTTTTTGTTTATTGTTGTAGATGAATTAAAGAAACTTTATTTCTAAATCACATTCATCTTCTAATTCATCATTCATCTAATTTAACCAAAAAAATTTTAAGTTGAAATTAATTTTTTTTACTGTTTACTCACTTTTGCGACTGACTGTATATGCGTTGAATCGTTGCTGAACATACGAATAACTAACGCAGTTATGTGGAAAGCATAGATAAATTGGATTTCTCTGGAAAAAAGGCTTAAATTTTATAAATGTGGCTCTTTTTCTTATACATATACTTAGTTTCTCTAAATTGTAGGATTACCTCTGTGATATAGGGACCACAGGTGAGCACGGGCTCTACGAAGTCTTTTAGAATTGTTTTTAAAAATTTTTTTTCGGAAATATTTGAAATTAGTGCGATTTGCACTAGAGGCTTCTAGTGTACATATATTTCTGTACATGTAATAACACTGTATTCGAATTACATTTTTCTATACTGAATTTGGGTTTCATTTGGGTTTGCTACATAATCGATTAACGCCTTTGTTTCGCACGCAATTTTGTATACTCATTTATTATTTGCTTAAAACCGTTATTAGTTATAACAATATATGTTTCATTTTCTACTCTTGGAAAATTTTACATTTATTTTTTAAAAATTTAAAAAATTTAGATTCGGTAGCAAAATACCCGGAAGCTTTGTATTATACATGTTATGATTTCAGTGTCATTTCTGCTCGATATTTTTATTGCTAACCACTAATATGCAAGATTCAATTCTTCATTCACTATTATTTCATATTCTAAATTTGTCTTTAAGTAAGTTGCTGCACCACTCGTATGTCATGATCTTGAGTCACAACTTTCAGCCATGCAAACTACATCAAAATTTTTTATTTAATACAGCTGTTCTTAACTCTGCCCGCGTGCACCGATTTTACAAATCTCCGATTTTTAATTTTATCCAAGATATTAAGTATCCGTTTAACATTATTTTTTTAAAAGCTTCTCAATCAATTTCAACAACAGCATTATGCACCATTATGCATAAGTGTTTATGTTTTGGAGATTTGTGAACGAACCTCTATACATTTTATACTTTTCCTCTGAATTGAATTATGTTTTTCAACAGCTTCTTCTATTTTCTCTGCCGCCAACTCATCGCGCATTCCCATAATTAAAATTCTTTCATTTTTAAAACCCGGAATGTGCTTGATTGTAAATTGTAGATTTTAAGGGAACCGAGTGGGGCATGGCTCTCCCCGAGCTACCGCAACCGTTTCTGACTTATAGTATCCTCCCCACGCTCCCACCTGTAATATCCCCGTCCCAAGTAAAGCTGGATATATCCCCAAGGGAATTAAACAGCAGTTTCTTAACGCTTAGGAAACCCTGTCCAAATAACAATGTACAAATAATTGCGGCGCCGAGCAGCCAGTGCCGGGAAGTCGCAAAGGATGTGCACGGCGGTTTTGTCACAGTCTCCACAAAATCTACAACGGCCCGATTTCCCTAGCCTATGCAGGTGATACTCCACTGGGAAGTGCCCCGTGAAGAAATTGACAACAATGCGAACCCGGCTGCTGTTCATTCCCAACAATTCTGTGGTGAACCCCTCGGAGCCCGCTAGAAGAAACACCTTCGCATAACGATACCCTTTGGTGTACCGCCAATGAAGACCGCATTCTGCCGCGAGCAGGCAGGCGAGCCTAGTCCCCGGGGGAAAAAGGCAGACAAATGATGAAATGAAAATTTGGTCACCAAAAAAATATATGAGGACGTTCGGATGGCAATTCGAAAATTAAAAAAAAAAAAGTGCGTTTAATAAATCCTCATTACAAAATCTGTAAAAATATAATGCTCGAAATGCTCTTGGATATTGGAGAATTACACGACTTTTTTACAAATCTGCAAAAGGTAAAATAAAGTTTATAGAAAGTTATACATGGGCAAAAAAAAGAATATGCCAGGAAATGAGAATAACAATGCGTACATATACTTATATTGTTTATACATTAATGTATATATAGTTATGCATATGTGAAATCATGCACGAATGTTATTTCTTAATGCTTAAAATTAAGAATTAAAAAAAGAAAAAATTAGAAAAGAAATTCATTATATTTTCTGTGACATCGTAAATGTCTGAAAAAACTCATAACCGATACCAAGTCAACGACAATGTAAATTTTTTGCTAATGTAAACAAAAGAGCTTTCGGTTGAAGTTTGGATACGTTTTGGATCGTAAAAATGAACACTAATATTATGAACCAACTATTATTAAATAAAGTACCAGCATTCAAATTTTGCAAGCTTTTTCGTAAGTGTTGTAACAATAACTGAATTAAAATTTTGTGATTTTGTTTCGACTGAAAGTCAACGCAAAATTACAAATTTGGAAAAAAGAAAAATTCTTCCATAATAAAATTCATTTTCAACTTTCTTCCAAAAGTCAATCGGATTGATAGTATCAACAGTTTTTTCCCAAGTATTTGAATTGAATTTTTATTACTAATATCACTGATAAATTGGAAAATATTTAATTTTTTTGTCTTTTCTTGTTTTGATTTTTTGTTACTTACAAATTTTTCCCAAAAATTCAATTCAAATAATTATGACTAACTTTCTACGATTTGTCTTCAAAAATAAGTAAAGTTGGGTTAAACCAATGGTTTGTATTGTAGCACTTTTCCCTTCAGCAAGTGAAAATTCTGCTTTTAAATACAGTCTATGTATACCTATCACACTATTAAAAGTATTTTCATTCATATACAA